GGTGGCTTAGTGGCTTATATGCATGAGGATCAAATGAATCACGTAAACACCGAAAAATTCGCGTATACGTTGAGACTTTCGGTTTGTACGTTAATTTTATGGTACATATGTCGTGCTTGCCTCATATTAAAACCGGCCTAAATTAGCGTTAGAGTTAGGGTGAGGATGAAGGTATAATTTAGGCTAATTATTGTCGATCAGTTAATGCTGGTCATCTGAGGCAAAAATAGACAAATCGGTTGACTGATAAGAACACTCTAATCCTAACATATGCCCGAACCCTAACGTAAATGAATTTTTTTGTTTGAAGACAATTGACTTCGGACGATCACGTGAACGTAAAAATCATTCCTCTGCCCTGTCAATTTCCCAGATACATAGATATTACAACTCACTTTCGTTATAGTGAAGTTGTCGGGCTAAAAAAAAATTTCAATAGTTTATATCGAGAAAATACCATATAAACAGTACTTCGTATATCGAGTTGAAGTTTAGCAATTCCTTAATTCGAATTCTTACCAAGGTTGAGACCTACTGATATTCTAGCACGTGCATAAATTTTTGTACATAACATAACTTCAGGGGTATCATTTTAAACTATATAAGACGCTCGGTATTGTAACACTAAACTTTTGACAGGGTGTTTAATTTTCGGTTTCGTCTTTCATCGTTTGACGAAACGTTTCGTCCTTCGCCGATTTTAGCTTCATTTTTTTTCGTCATCATGCAAAAATGTCTTCATCTAAGAACATTATACTCAACACGTCCTTATATCGCCAGTAATCCACTTTTATTCAGCCTTAATCAACGTTATCCCTCCCATGTTCGACGGCAGGAATTGATTGCGTTGAAAGATCTTCAAGCAAGATCGTTTGCATTTTCCACTATTCCTAGATTCATTTTACATGCCATGCGAATTCCTGTTGCCGGTGTAACTGTTGGCGTTGGTGGTTTGACTTATGCTAATTACAAACTTAATGGTAGGCTAAGAACTAATTTTTTCCAATAATCCGAATTTTTGAATCTTTTATTATTCCTAATTCGCAATGATTTTCTTTTCTAACAGCTATGGCAACTAAGAGTTCTGATTTATTGTCATCTATTTCCGATGGGTTTAAGTCCGCTTTTGGAACTGTCACTGATGGATTATCAAAATTCGATGTCGAATTACAAGTACCTAAATTTTTAGCAGATATTTTTCCCACATACTCAAGATCGTCATCATCGTCATCATCAAATCAAATAGATTCTGATAAACCTAGGTTTATAAAAAAAGATGATCCTTCCGATCCTTCAGGGAATGGTGGTGGTGCTGCTGCTGCTGCTGGCGCCGCGGCTGCCGCGACTGCTTTATTTATGAGTGGCGAGAAAGATGATGACGAAGACGATGATGATGGAAAGTCACTTAGAAAAAAGTCTGGCGTGGCACAGGATGATCAATTCATGAATCTCACCAAAAAGTTGATTGAGGTTCGGAATATATTGACGAGCATTGATCATGAGGAAGGGCTTAAATTACCTAGTATTGTGGTCATTGGAAGTCAGAGCTCTGGTAAAAGTTCCGTGCTCGAAGCTATCGTTGGACATGAATTTTTGCCAAAGTATATTTCATAAATATATTTTACGTATCATTATATTCAATACACGTATACTATTGATTTTTACATTTTATT